CATTAATGTAGTGTAACTAAGGGCCTAAGACTTATGTATAAACCAACCGGAGTCAAAACATGTTCTGATAATTACAGACTTTTGCTACGTGGTCGGTCGAATTGACCGACCTCGTAACCATTTTTTTCTTGTGCATTTTACTGTGTAACATTATAGTTTAATATTGAAAGTCATGTAGGGATGATCTATGTATAGCTGTATCATCCCTATATTCCTGTTTGTATTCTTTTCGCACAGCAATCCCTACATCAATTTACATTTACAAAATGTTTTTTATTACTTGTAGAAATTAAGATGATACATATATGCAATATAAAGGTAATTTGGGTAATTTCAAGCAAATGTGACTTAAACTTCATCTTTTGTAGTATCATTAAAAGACTGTGAGATTTAGTTTGTATTATAAATAATTGTGGTAACATTTCTGTTTTAGATGAACATGACTTGGACTTCGATTGTTGTGAGAGCTATAATAATCATCAACATCCTAGCTGTATGACAATCGACATTCCTCACGATGATCCATTCTACTCTCAGTATGGTCAGAGGTGTATGGATTTTAAACGTCTGGAAGCAGGTCAGAGACCAGGATGTACTCTTGGTAGGTGGTGAATTTTCAGATTGTTTGTTTGTTTGTTTTTAATTATGCACAAAGCTACACAAGGGCTATCTGTGCTCTGCCCACCACGAATATCGAAACCCGGATTCTAGCATTGTAAGTCTGCAGACATACCGCTGTGCCACTGGGGGGCGAATTTTAAGATAAACATATAAAGATCAAGTAAGAGGTGAAATGAGCACTGGTATAGGGATTCTCATAATTGTACTCACAAAAATAGGAGAAAATAATAATTTATAACTTGAGAAGCTTTGAAACTGCTACAGATCAGTACAGATGAAAAATTCAATAACAAATACCAAGATCTGATCAGATACAAATATTTTTAAAATACCAAGTTATTTAACGCAGATGGGAACAAAATTTGCAATATATTGCGTAATTACATAGCGATATATCAATAAGATCGTATTCATATTATGAACATTCTATAATTTTCTGTCACTTATTGTTATAGTCCAATGGAAGGTACTAAAATATCTAAGTTTCAAAGAGAAAAAAAGACCTAACACATATATCTTTCTTTATAAGATTATTAAATAACATATAAGGATTTTTAATTAGGCAATTAAAGTAAAATTAAATGAAATGGGCCGGGCGTTGGATAATGAAGATGAATTAATTTAAAGAGAAATTACGAAGTTGAATAAACTAGGTCAATAGTAGTTAGCCTAGTGCATTTTTAAGCTCAGATTTAATTTATCTAATTAGAAGTTCCAATGGATTATATTTGAAAGTTAGATTATATTTATTCATATGTGATCTTGCTTGTTGTAGGAGGTATATTTTTGTATTGTAATTAGTTTTGAATTTATTATTTCAACTTATACATATTACTCTTCCTATGGGTAACTGAAATCGAAATATCATATATAATTCTTTCCAGCAATGATGGAGTTAGAAAAGTTACTGAAACTTTCCACAAATATTGCAAAAGTTACATTTCCAGAAGAGCTGTAAATGAGACCTTTATTTTAGTTAAACTAGGACCTTGCAACATAAAATGCAGTATTCTCCACAATGCACAGTATAACATTACTGAGTTAGATAAAGTAAGACAATTCCAAAGTTAACGGAAGTAGAACCGTTCCGGATTTAAGCAGAGTAAGGGATATCCCACTAGTAACTTAAATAAGGTACCTTCATCACTACATGAAGTAGATTCCATCCAATATTAAGAAAGGTTAGACATTCTTAGCATTACAAAGGGTTGAACACGTTATATTAAAACAATACTGTAGCCTCACCACATTATTACTACTCTATCTGACGACAGTGCATATTGACAAAAACCCTGTAGTGAGGTTTACAGTGTAAAAGGTTCCATGGCAAGGCTGTCATGTTCAAAACACACCACCTCTCCTCGTGAGCTTTCAATAATCTATCAGTCTATCTAGTGTACATGGACGACGGCTGTTTTCCAGCATCTATTTCAACATATTGATTGCACAAGAATCCATAGGGCTAGACTGGCGAGCTGACTGGTATGTTATCGTATATAAAATAATAAATCTATATACTACTAAATCTATGAGATTGTTTGTTTGCTTGTCTGTAATTAAATAGAGCAAAAATGGCGCAAAATATGAGAATATGAATATAAATAGAATATGAGAAATGATAATAGAAACAGAATAAAAAAGTTTCGTCAAAATCGGGCCAAGGGTTACCGAGTTAGCGCCGTTTTTCGGGTCACTTTTAGGAAAATTTCTAGCATTAGTAATTTTACATCACACTATTGTTTGCACTCTTTACAAAACTATTTCGTTCAAACCTATTTCCCTGTCAATGTTTCCATCTTCATTAAAAGGCTTAAAATGACAATAACAAGATCTTGAAGAATTTCTTAATAATGTACCTTGGTTATGGTAAGCAAGGAAATGAGAAAATTTTCTCAATCAAATTGTTCATAACCTCTGAATAGTGGGCGACACAACGGTCAAGGGTGGTATTGTGTTCGTTCAATTCTTCAGTTGTCTGAGTTAAGCAACAGGTTAACAGGAAGTATGACTGGAAGCTTTATCTTGAGGAACCCTGTTGGCTTCGTTTCCAGACTGAGTTCCTTCTTGATTTATTGCTTACGGTGACCTAGGAAACATGGATGACTTTTGTCACTGTCATCTGCGTTTGTGAATTCTCGCTTATTACAAGATGCCATACTTTACCGACCATGGGTGGGGTTCAACTTATTGCAATTCATTTTTTCGGAATGGTTCTGCGTGTATGCACATTTTACGTTAGAAAGGCTGTTACATACCCTTATGCAAAGTAAGGAGTTTTCTGTGTTATAATTCAACCAACGTAACGCCAAGCAATGTCAACATGTAGTCCTGATACATTCTTTTCCACCAGCTCTGGTTGCCAAGTGACTTTCTAATTTGCATATTCGAAATTACTTTAGTATAACATACTCAACAATGTAGAAATAGAATAAGTCCTTCATCTTTGGCTCAAATAGAGAACATTCAGCATTAACTAACAATGAATTATCCAGCATCACATGCAGTAGAATTCTTACTATTGTTAGTCTAAACAGAGTCTGTACAAATTTCAGGGAGCCTTTACTTTTCGAACACTAACTAAAGTGTGACTACTTTATAGTAGGAATCGGCCAGATGTGCAAAATGAGCAATATAAATTAAAATTTCAAACACATTGGAAGCAGCATGTG